CAGTTGCTATGTAAGAATTTCCCATTTATTTGCTTACTTTTAAACAGATCTTTCAGAAAAAACCCGAACTCATTTATATTCACAGCTTCACCAGTTGTGTCATGTATTGGATCCTGTGAGATGTAATTAACAGGTCCAGAGTAATTACCTTTGAAAAGTACTTCCTTGCTAGAGTCTCTAATTCCTGCAGAAATATATTTTTTGGTACTAGCTAGATTCAAAGACTAACCTTTCAGTGTATTTTTCTAATTTCTCTGGCTTCAGAAGGCGTTCAAGCACGTTTCTTAGTTTTACAATGATGAGTTGCCCTGTTGCAGTTCAGTGGCAGCGCTGTTGTGTGAAAGCCCCCTTAGAAACTCACACTTTCTCTGGTGTATATGTATGAGAGAAAATGAGACTTTCCCTTCCTGCATCTTAGCAGTCTGGCTCTGTGATCAGAACTGTAAGCCTGCTACTAAAAAGGCATCCAAAACCAGTGTCTAAATAGCATTTGATAGAGATTTGCCATGCCTAAGTGGCTGCTAAGGTTTTAGTATGTTGGGGTTACCTCATAACTGACATGGCAAATAAACACCGTGCAGGAACTAGCTTTCATTCTTTGCTGTTCCTTCTTTTTTGTGTGTTCATCCTTGTCATTTTTTCAAGGGAAACAAACGATTAGATATGAACAGCTCAAAGTCCTATCAGCTAAATTCCCTTGTCTCTAGAAATACAGAAAACTACTACTGTGTTTTATACTTTTTAAAAAGGTATCAAGCGTGGGGCAATTTAGCATGAGTTAAAAACTGGAACCCAAAGGGGAGCTTAAAGGAATATTATCTTTCTTACTAAAATAAAACTGCTTTAACCTTTCAGTCTTAAATATTTTTAAAAAATCCATAAACTAAGCAATCAGGCCTCTCAACTTTGAATTCTAGGCTGCTGTGTAGTGTTGTATAGTGGCATGCTAATACCATGGCCTGTCTGGAGCACTTTGCATCAAGAAGTGTGGTATTACCATACATGGTATATACCATACCAAGGCAGTATGGTATTCATGTGGCTGTTAAGTTTAGGTCTTGAGATACAAATCAGGAGCCAAGTGAGCAGAAGTGCATGTCCATGATTTTTATGCTTCAGCTTTCATTCGTTATTTTAAAGTATAATTGAGAGTTATGTCACTTTCTTAAAATCTGAAAGAACTGTTTTGATCTGAAGTTAATATGTGTACTTACGTTGAATAAAAAAAATTTATGTGAAATTTGCAGTTCGCCCTCTCAGCAGAGAGATCACCATGAGTCAAGCATACCAAAACATGTGTGCTGGGATGTACAAGGTAATTTATTTGTGTTTGCTGAACAGTGGCTTCAGGTTTTTTTGTAATAAGAGTCAAACATACATTGCACGCTGCCTTTGTTTTTAGTGGGACTAGAAATGAAGTTCAAGTTAATAATGTGATACGGTTGATTCTCTTCTATTTTTCTATCCTTCCAGTAGTAGTTAAATCATAATTTTCCTCTTGCTTAGAGTGAAATATGATGTAAAGCTAACACTTTTCACTCTATTTATCCTTTCCTTTTTAGACAATGATCGCATTTGACATGGATGGCAAAGTAAGAAAACCAAAGTTTGAACTGGATAGTGAACAAGTGCGATACGAGCACAGGTTTGCTCCGTTCAACAGTGTTATTACACCACCCCCAGTGCACTACTTGCAGTTTAAAGTGAGTAATCTTAAAACATGGTGTCACTCATGCTTTTGTAAAAGTCATTTGCTCGCTTGCTTTAGACATTGTTGTTATTGTAAAAAGAGCCTTTGATATCTCAAGTTTCATACTGAAGCATAAGTCAAAATTGCAGGGAGTTCTAGCTTTATTTGAGTGCAAGGAAAATATTTAGCTTTGAATTCTTACTAAAATTAGGCTCTTATACATTTAAAAATGGTTCTGATTTGGTGGTTTGTGAGATGCTTGTGTTAGTTTGCATGAAAAGAAAATATCTTGAAAGTGTGTTTGACAGACATTTTGGCTGCGGTTTATATAGCAGCATGTTTTTATTACTGCAGCAAGCAAACAGGGAAATGAATCAAAAGTAATTCTGAGTGTTAAATCAGAGAAGTGTTGGTTGGAAGGGACTGGTGGAGGCTTGTCTTTTCCAGTCTTCTCGCTGAAGCAGCATTATAGATCACGTCAGATGTGTCTTTGTCTAGCCAAGTGTGAAAAAAATCTGAACTGAAACTATACTATTTTGTATGCCAGTCATTCTCCCTTCGTTAGTGTTATGAACAGGTGTAGTGGAAATTAAGACTATTGTGTCTTCCTCCCTGTCACTGAAGTTTTGGGTTTTTTTTAATCCCTAATAAAAAATAAAATAAAATTTGGAAGTATCAAAATTACAACGAAGTTTTGAACGTTGTTAGTATCTCCCTTGCTTATTTGAGTAAACAATGCCATGTATTTTTTTTTTCCTCCTATTTTTCCCTGTAATTTCACACCTTGATGCATGGCGCTATTAAAGCACATGAATGACAAGTTGTTCAGGAGGGGGATTGTTTGATAAAGAGTATGAGAAGTTTATCGGCTTTGTGGCAATATATTCATTAAACACTGTATTGCTGCTTGGCATTTGCCATTTTAAATAAATGTTTTCGACTTCTGTGTTTATGTCAACTAAGTATTTTAAGAATAACTTTTTTCTTAAGTATAGTAATTTGTTTTCATTTGAGGTGCTAAAAATATGATTTGTTTGCGACTGATTTTAATATGTATTTATATATTTGTGTAATACTCTAGGAAATGTCTGATTTAAATAAGTACAGCCCACCTCCTCAGTCATCAGATCTCTACATGGCAGCTAGCAAACACTTCCAGCAAGCTAAAATGATTCTTGAGAATATTCCTAATCCAGACTATGAGGTAAGACTGAAATTCTGAAAAAAAAAAAAAAGGAGTATTTCATCATAATAGAATAAGCTTTTGTTTTCAGCAGATCTGTTTGAGATCTAAAGTGTACTTCATCAAAATGCTGAGCAAAGCTGGATGCTTTGATTAAGGGGTTGACAAAGGAGGGTGGTTAGAGGTAGTTTGAGTGTGCCTGGAGCACTTCCATGCAAAAAGCCTCCAGTTTGATGCTTGAGTTTCCCCTTCTCATCATGTCACAGTGTTGGGGGTAGATGCCTAGGGTCTGTCTAAACTTTTATTTGGATGAGTGCCTCAGAACTCTTTCAATGTAAGTATGGAGAGGAGTGTTTGCTGTGGTCTGTTGAATAAGAAAAACTAACTATTAAAATAAGTGCCCCCTTCATTAAATTTCATTAATCCAGCTATTATACTGCAAATCCAAAATGGCCTGATTTCTGTTAAACTGCTACTGTAAGAGCACTGCTGTATTGTTAGAGTTTGTAAACATTTGAGTGCTATCTTTGAAATAATTGTGAGGTCGTATGCTTTCACTCGAAAACTTCTTGCTGTTTTGTATTTAGGTCAATCGAATTCTCAAAGTTGCTAAGCCCAATATTGTCGTCATGAAGCTGCTGGCAGGAGGCCACAAGAAAGACTCTAAGGTAAGAAAATGCCAGTCGAATTGAATGTGAAATGCGTAACTACACCCAACGCTACCACGGGTCTCTTGCAGCAGAATGAAGAGATTCAGGTGTAGTTAACTCTAACTCTTAAAGTAACAATCCCATTTTTCCCTTGGCAATTGTTGCAATTATTAAAAACTCATTTTCAAATGGTTAGGAAGAAAGAAATGGGAGTGCGCGTGGGATGAGATGTACCGATGTGGATGGGTGGTCTTCAGGAGCAGGAGGAGTTGGTCTGTCAGCAGATGGTGGGAACACAAGGGGGAGGGTGCCTGCTGGGCCACAGGGAGGAGAGGGCCTCCAGGCTTCCCCAGGAAGGCTGGGCACAGAAGGGTGAAGGAGCACACTGAAGAGGGACACCAGCACTCAGCAGCTTTCTGCCCATCCCTACTAGAGAATGATTGGCATATCCAGAACTGGGTTGGAATGTTTTTCAGATATTAATTTAAAGAGCTAAGATTTTTTTTTTTTTTACAGTCTTTAGCTGTTTAAAAGTTTTTCTTCTATCTGCAGGGTATCCATCATTCTGAGTAATGCTTTAAATATTTTCTTTCTAGGTTCCTCCAGAATTTGACTTCTCCCCTCATAAATATTTTCCAGTTGTGAAGCTTGTTTGAAAGACAACAGGTTATTATTAGGGTATCTGAAGAATAACCTGAGTATCAGATACATGGGATGGAATACCTAGAGTTGTACCAGACTGAGAGGGATCTCCAGAGTAAAAGTACCATTACATGGAATATCTATAGCCTGCTTTCTTTATGTGATACGAATGAGAACTGCTGTTTTAAAGTGGTTTGTATAAAGTTTTACTGGTGAAGCTGATTTTACTCTACTGTTGAATAAATGTTTACTTTATTGATTTTATTACAGTTTTAATCCTAAGTAATGTTTCTTCCTGAGTGCTGATGGAAGGTGGTGGTTTGGAGTTTTAATAACATTTGGGATTGAATAAAAATAATTCAGTAGAGCCTTATGTCTGTCTGTGTTTCTCGTAACACAGAGTTGTACTGTGGAGTAATAACCACTTCACTTCCATCATTTAAGCAGCAGCACTGCTGAGCTAGATCTGGAAAACAGTGAAGAAACTCTGAACTGGCATACCCATTTGTCTGCCAGCAATTTGCAGTTTCTTGAAATAAGCAGGACTTACTGCTCTGAAGACATGCTTTTCCCAATTTCTCTGCTAAGGAGGCTGTGTACCATTTTACATGTTTGCTTATCGTGAATAATCCACTTGAATGCTTCTGGATCATTGCCAAAGGAATGAAAATCCTGGAAAATGCAGTTGTAAAGAGGGCAAACTGGTTCTAGTGCAGGGCACTGAGAATTCATCTGGCTTTTGCTGACTTCTTGTGATTTTGAACTACATGACAGAAGCTGAAGGACAGTATTTGGTATTTCTCCAAAGGAAGTGACACATAAAAGGGAAAACAAGTTCAACATCATCTTTCTGATTTTCATTAACATTAGAAGTGGGTGAATACACAGTAGACAAGATTATTTTTATTGTAAAACGTTTATCTAAAATGAATCAGGCTTAGTATTTAAAAATCATCAAGGACAAGTGTTAATTTAACCCTGGGATGATTACACAACTAAAAATTTTTGTGATAGACAACACTCTGTAAATGACAGTTCCAAGTGAATCTCATGTTTTGTTCAACTAAAAGCCCTTTAATTTTAAATTCTATATAGTAGACATACAGGCCCATTGTCTACTAGAAATCTACCACTAGTTATATCCCCATAGTGCTTGAAGCCATTGAGAATGATTGTATGCCTTTGTGCTTCTGAAGATCGCTCTTGCACAGGTTTTCAGAGCCCCTGCTGTCAGAGGTGCTTCACACAAAGGTGTTCTTGAGTATGGAGAGGACAACATGCAGCTGGCCAGGGAGAAGCCTACTCAGGTTTGGGTCCTGCACAGAAATACAGCCCAAAGAGAAGTCTCTGGCAATATATTCATTGCCTTGGGATTCTGTGGTTTGGAATTTTAGCGGTATCTTTACCAGTATATTTTACACTCTTTTAACAATCACTATTAAATTCCTGATTGACTTAATCTCAGCTACATAACTGTTTACAGATTAAGTCCTAAGAAAATGCTCCTTTTACTTGGAAGATGGGTAAAATTTTGATGCTAAAACATGCCATTATGTGCAACAAACAACCTTAATAGCCCAAGCGTACCAATGCTTGTCAGAAAAGATGCTTATACCTCCTTTTCTCTCCTGCATTTTTTCCTGCTGTATTGACTGTAGTAGCCCAGACCAGTTAAGTCTGACTTGCATGGTGAAAAAAAACAACAACAGAATAACCAAGAACTCAGTAATGGAAGTCAGTGCTTTTCTTAGAAGAATTCAAGTTACATGTGCCAGGTCTATCAAAGAACTGTTTTAAGTATTTAGGCTTAGTAGGCACCATTTGACTGGAGCTCTGCCTTTCACTCAGTGATGACAACTAGTACTCTCTTCACACACAAAAGAACCAACCTTCCACTGGCATACCTATGTCATCCGAAGGTACAGGAGTTGTAAACTAGTACAGTGAGGAACAACACATCAGGAAAGAAGCTACAAAAATGAAGTGTGTTAAGAGAAAGCCAAGACAAAGTTGTATTTTCTTAAATGGAATTGCAGGTTGGGAAATTAGTCATGTCTGTCTGCTCCCACGCTCGGTTCAGGCTCACAAAGATCTCTCCAAGCATCTTGTAAACAGCTGGTGACACACAGCTGGCAACCACTGAAGGGTGCTTCAGTGGTAGTAGAGAGTATTTCTGGGTTATGGCAAGTAAACTAGTTTCTAGTTTACATTCAAAAAGTTACAGAAAAGATGAAGACTACAGAACATTAACACCACGGTAACATTACGCATAACACAGGACTTCACAACGACGAGAGCCTCACCTGTGGGAGACACCGAGACGTCTGGTCAATGCATACCTGGTTCACCTTTCATCAGAAGCCTGGCAGAGAAGATCAGTCACTTGGAACAGCTGAGATGACTGATGCTCTACAAGGCAAGCATTTGCCTTTCTACTCTTTGGCAGAAGACAGTGGCTGGGAGGAGTAAAGGGAAGTCGCAGCACTTCGTAGCCATTTCAGATGCCTTCTGTCATGAAAAGTTCAGGAGCCTGAATTTTAACACTCCTAACTTGTCCAAGTTAGTGGTAACTGAACCATACCGTCATACTGATCTTGTGACCAGGAGTCCAGCAAAGCTTTCAGAAAAACATTCCTGCTAATCTCTTAACGAGAAGACAGTATTCTTGGAATCATTCTTCTTTTCTTAACCTGAAAGCCAAGAACACAACCACGACAGTGTTTCAGCCTGGTTATAGGCCACTGTAGGCCCAGGAAAACATATCATACTGCCTAATATCTGAGGACTAAAAATCATGCTTTCTGAGTCTATCTACACTGCAGCACAAATATGCCAGAATAGGCACACAGGCAGACTGCAGCATGGACCATTCTTCACCCTTCCCATGTTTTGTCAAGGTAACTTAGTTCCTCAAGCTTGGCTTAAAACTCAGCTGGGGATTTCTCTACTGCGTTGCTCAGGGGAGACTTCCATCCCTGGCAGAGGAGTCTCTCTCATCTGCCAGCAATCCACACGTACTGCTATTGTAGTATGACTGTACGAGATAGCCAGCTTCAAAGTTTACTGCTAGTTGGTTTCAACTTTGTAATTGATAGGAAAGAAAGAGAGTCATTCCAGAGGTCAAGCTGCTTAAAACAAGCCTCCCGAGGTTTAAGATTACTTTCACCACTGAAACAGTACTAAAACTTCACAAGAAAATACTACTTCATTTGGGCCCTTGTTGAAGCCTTGAGAAGACACTCAAAACAGTCTCAGATCACTTCGCTCTCATCATTGCTGCATTTATATGAAGGAGACCAAGCTGCACCATGAACCTCCTTTTTTCACAACCTCTGTCGTTCTTCACCATGCTCATGTAAGTGGTTCTTCACATCTTCAGAGTTTTGAACTAATTAAGAAAAACACAAAAGGTACAGAAATCTCTTTAAGAAGCCAAAGTGATACTTCTTCATCTAGAAAACAATCTAGAACACAGCAGAATAATTTTAAAAGGACTGTTATGTACTGTACAGAAAAGCTACAGATACGGTCCCTCCCCACCACATGTTAGACAGTAGCTTCAGTGACGCTATGCAGAAAATAAGTCATGCTGTCAACATGAGGGAAAGCTCAAAAGACAGAAAGAAATTAGCTAGCTCTATCTGTTACAGGATACCATTCAAAATACCATCTTAAAATTGTCAGCATGTGGTACTTTTAGAATAAGACTTTTTTACCATTTTCAATCCCTGCAAGTGCTGCTTGCTTGTCCGTTTCTGATTCAGCTTCATTCTCATCTACGTTGTAATCAACACCCTTGTCCTGATTCAGTGCTTCATGTTCCTGTTTGTCTGTAAAAATGTAAAAATTACTTAGTTTTACGCTATACCATGAGGTCATCTGCACAAGAAACAGTTACTGTAACAATGTTCCACAGAATTTACTTTGCTGCTGAATGAATTGCCATTTTGAGTATGTTTTCTTATTAGTTTTCCCTTTGAACTGTTAAATTTCAGAGCAGCTTTTGCTGTAAATCTTGTCTAAATAACTGAGTAAGAGACAGAATGTTTTGGGATTTGGAAAATGTAATAAAATTCAGCCAGCACTCATATGGACAGAGAGGAAAAGCATTAAACAATTTCAGAGCACAGTAAAGGACAGCCCAAGGAAGAGTAAAACCTGATACCAGTGCTGAAAGCTTGACAGTGGTCTTGCTTTAAATATATTACCACCAGCACTAAAACATATTTCAGCTTCCCCCGTTTTAGTTTGTCCACCAAGCACAAAGCTGTGAGTATAGCATTTTAAAAACAAACAAAAAAGAAAAAGTATTTTATGTGCTAACTTGACACAAAAGTGCTTTTCTGTAATGGATTTTCTTCACCCAATCATTTAATTAATCTCAAACAACTTTTATTGACTATTTTAAGATTTCTTTATATAGAGAGCTCAGAAGCAATTGGAAAAATTATTTCTGATTACCAGATTACTACCCTTATTTTTCAGTTAGCCAGCCAGAAAAAAACATAATGGCATAGAGGTATAAGCGTATCCCAGTTAAGAGAGATCAGAGTCTCTGGTTCTGAATGTTCTTAAGACATGCCCTCTAATTAGTAACTGGCTGTTTTAAAAGCAGCTGTTACTGAAAGAGAGGATACTCTGAGAATGCAGAAGGCAGCTCCTTTGCCTATGAGGAACCAATGTGGTAAGGTATGCCACTCCTGTTGAAACATCTAAGCCTGAAGAACATCCTGCTAGTCTTTCTAGCTCAAAGAAGCTCTGACTTTCCATAGGTTACACACAATTACTTAGTTCTGTTAAAATGGAAGCAGTTTAGGTAACTTGTATTCCCATCTCTTCGGGGGACAGCCTGCTCTGGCCAGCATCCTTTCAGAGTAGTTAGAAAAATACTACTGTAGCAATGCAGATGAGATTTTATCCCTGCCAAGTTATCAACAGTGTTAACATCATTACTTATGATTCCATGGATACATTTACTAAAAAAGCATTAAGAGCATTTTTTGTGGGCATCAATTCCTCATCTGACTGCCATAAGGCTTCCTCTTGATTATTCTGGGCTACTGAAACTGAGTTCCTCAAGACACAGAGAAGGATGCCTAGATTCTGGGCAAGTTTAGGCACAACATCAGTACTCTGCTGCTCGGTGCTGTGGAGACATGCAGTTGTTTCAGGCACCTACCACATGTGACCCTGAAAGAGGCACCTTCGTGACATCTGATCTGCAGTTCTGCCGACTCACAATAATAAACTTTAGATACCTGAAGTCTTAGGTTGAGTTTTATTCATTAATTTGAAATAGACATAACTAGCATGTGCACATTGATACTATAGAAAGACTACCTGCAAAATGTTTAATATGTAGTATCTCTCTACTTATCAATGCTTTGAATGGTTAACATCTCATCTTTTCAATATGTCAAATTCTTACAAAGCCTCACTACCAAAAAGTTTTGGGGCTAATTTCCCCAAATGCCTTGTACAGCCAATAGAGAGAGAGAGGAAGGCTGCTATGGTGATGCAGAATAATTCAGCCTGGTAGCTTCATGTTGCACAAACAGAAGCCTCCATCTTTACCCATGGACTGTAGGAGACTGCTGGGAACTGACTAATCTTTGATCTCTCACACTAACCTTTATGAAACCTTATGCTAAGCCTGGCCAGCTGCCACCCCTGTTGCAGAAATCGTGCCCTATTCCACACTTTTATTTTATTACTGATCTTAAAAATACGTGACGTGCTACCAACCAGCCTTTCCGGGGGGCACGTCATCCTGCTTAGCATCAAAATTTACTAGCTCCTCCCTCTCGACTTCCTCGCTCTCAGCCTGCTCTGCTGCTGGCTGTAATCCATCTTGCTCAGCTACTTGTTTTTCATCTTCAGAGGGATTCAGCTTTTTCTCTGACTCAGGTGGTATCTCCTTGTGATCTGCAGCAGCCTTGAGTGAATCCTGTGGGTTTTTCAGTTGACTGGAAAGATTCTCTTCTGCCTTAGGCTCCTGTTTTCTGATGTCAGCTGCATCATTTATTCTTTCTGTACACAATAAAAATTATTCTCAGTAAAGAACCTAATGTCTTTCAGTGATGGCACAAGTTAAAAACCTTTAATAAGTACTGTTTTATCTTTCTCATCCAATTATTGTTTTTCCTCTGAAAGAACATCTTTCAACCACATCAGTTCCAGAGACAAAAAGACAACAACCCATTATTTCCTACCAGAAGCAGCAAAAGGATGAGACATTGTTTACTGTTAACAGATTCACACTTCTACCTACTTAAAATTTTGATATGTGCAGTTAAAAAACTGGGCAGGTGAAACAGAGCAGTTTAAATAAAAATTGCAGTGTCCCATAAAAGCATCAGGTCTCTGCGTGTGACATTTTATTACTGACAATAAAACATGTGGTGTTCAAAAGCAGCTCAGGACAAAGCAGTCACATGGGCAGATCTGCAAGTAAATCCAAGCTTTCAATACCTTTAAATATGAAGAGGAAGTGCATGAGGGCTATTACTTTTACCAGATATGGTAATATCTTATTCTTGTGTATCTGTATTTTTAACTAAAAAAAAAATCATGATAAAAATTTCCCTGAATAAACTATATATAGATGTTGTCTTCGACTGCTAGCTCTCTAAAATGAGTTGCACGCTCACAAGATTGTAATTTAAGATAGCACATAAGAATTATGAAATAGGCAACAGAATTTCTATCACACCCAGTACTACACGAGACTGATGCACAGAGACGCATCCATTCAAATTAACGGTTTGAGAGTTTAGAGCCAAAAGCAACCATTAGGTTTACTGATCTGTTCTTCTGTGTATCATATACCTTACTTGCATCTTGCTTAGTAACAACACATGGAAAGCATGGACGTGTGTTTGTTTAAAGCCTAACTTTCAACTGTTTTATAGGGTTGGGTAGCAGGCTACATGTGTCAAACCTATTAACGAAGCAAATTTTAAACATGCTTGAAAAACATTGTTTCCAATAGCATGGTATTTTCTCCATATTAAATGAGGATTATTACTCTAGAATTGTAAATACTCATATTTTCCTTTGCATGCAACATGTCAATTACAACAAAACCGAACCAATAATTATACCTCTCCACAGCTGAAAAAATATTACAGTTCAGTCTACTGGTGTTGGTTTTTCTGTCTTATTCTTGTGTACAACAAATGTTTTTCAAATGTTCAATTAAACTACAAACATTCTTCACCAGTTGCTAGCAAGAGTGATTTCCACCTCACCTTTAGCCTGCGGCGAGTCTGCCTTTTTCACTGTAGGTACATCTTTGTCCGGTTTCTGCTGTTCCAAGCCAGCCTGCTTGAACTCAGTTTGCTTCAGGGCTGGCAGCTGAATATTGACCTATAAAGCAAGTGTACACAGATAAGCACTGGTCTGTGTAACTACTCCTAGATTTGGAAAGAGGAAGTTAGATAAGAGTACAGTAGGGGGAAAAAACCTACTGTACGGGAAGAAATATTTGGGCTGAAATTTTTTATCGGTGATGGAAGTACCATACAATCTTGAACAAAAAGTGATGTTTCTATTTAACAGCACAACACATCAGGAGAATTTAACATGCCTTCTTTAGTCTAATTACAGCTAATGATGAGGTTACTGCTTTTGCTTAGCGTTTCACAAGAAACACTACCTGTTATTCCCTGAGGGTCACAGAACTGTAACACCACACGTTTCTCCACTCTCACCCAGGAGTTTCATTGTGCATTTCCAGGGTCATCTGTATCAAGCTTAACCCATCAAGTCCTGTCCCTGTGCAAATCCTCCTTCACTGAAGCAGCATCAATAATTCACATGCCAAGACAACATGACGACCTGAAATTTCCTTTTCTCAGGATTTCCTCCCACACTCTGTACCCCAGGAAGAAAGAGTCAGCTGGCACACAGCCCCCGTGCGTGCCAAGCTTGCCCCATCCTCGTGAGCCTTCTCACGTCACATATGGCAACACCTTTTGTGGTTCTGGGACTCAGAGTACCCAAAAGCAAGCAGGTAAGACATTTGATCTTCCCCTCACTCCCACAGTAAAAGGCTGGCATTGGGATCTCTGAAAATTTATGGCTGATGGCTAAAGACCCTTGGACTACAGTATCATAGTCCTGGCTTGCTGCCACTCTGACATGACTCACAACTTATCCTCATCTTCAACAGATGCCTTCAACACACAAAGCAATGATGTCCTTTAACAAAGTCAAAAGGAGCTGTGAACCAAAGCTCAGCAGTGTAAATGTTCTTTGATGGGCTCTGCACCACTGCCAGCATCACCTCTCAGATTCTGCCTGCCTCAGACACAGTGATTTGGAGTCTTCTGCAGGACCTCTGCCTGTTCTGTCCTTGGAATCACTCAATTTCCTACAGATCACAAACATTCGATAAATGTGAAGGAAAGCAGTGCAAAACTTAATGAGATGGGCTAATGTTACTTGAGAGTAGCAAAAAGGTGGAAAATCCCTTAAGAATTACAAAGAAAAAGATTTTTAAGAAATTACCCAAACCATACCTGGTTTTCTTTTTTTGACCCTTCTGAGTCTTTGTTTTCTTTGAGTTGTGGTACATCATTACCCTTTTTTGTAAGCTCATCTATCCTTTCTTCACACTGTTCTTTTAATTCTTTCATCTGGTTGATGCACTGTGACCTGGGAAAAACACAAACAAGTGAGCAGTTGTTTACTTTCATCCACACTCTTCTAAAATATTCTTTTGTAAAATGAGTTATTCCTTTTTCCCCCCCCCCCATTTTATTATTTTCTTAGTTCTATTATCTGTTCTTACATTTGAGAACTCAGTGGGACAAACCAGCGGTGCAGTCAGTCCAATTTCTACCAGAAGTTGTAAATTTAAACTGCTTTGTTACACCAGCTCAACAAGCTACATGAATTTTCTTGTCTTCCACTGACCAGTCAATTCCAGCTAAATCAAAATCAATTTTGATCCTTGAAGCATTTCTAGTATGGTAACAGAAACACGTAATAGGATTTTAGCTAGGAATTGAAAACAGCAAGATACTAGTTGAAATAAAAACCAGGTGTAAGCTACCGTTAGCAAACTAAACATCCTTTCTCAGTATTTCACCAAAGTGCAGCACTTCAAGACATAACAAAACATATGTTAGAGAAATGGAGTTCATCAGTAGTTATCTTAAGTTCCAAAAAAGGAGTATTTTCTAAAGATGCAAGTACTGTATATCTTTTATATACTTTTAATAGTTACACAGTGCCATTAGTGCCTCAAAGTTCAGGACACCAGGGGCCTGCCTGTCCCTCACAGCTCCGTAACCTCTAGGCAAGCCCTTGGCTATTGCAGCAGTGTTTCTCCTGAAGGTGCCAGGGCTTTCCCCTTTTGTGGTTGTGCTGAGGATCCCAGGTAAACTCCAGGAGTATTGTCCAGCTGCGTTCCTCAGGGAAAGTGACTGCCACCAGGGCAGGATCACCCCCCTTTCTTCCCCACTCTCTTCATAACCTGCTTTTGTAACTTTTGGTTTATATTAGAGGAAGGACAAGACCTAGTGAGTAACAAAGCACATAAGCATTACCCTGTAACACACATGTAGGAAGCTTAGAAAGCAGCCATCATACGACCCCAGGTATGCTTTGATCCCACCATGAGCAGGAACAAGCAATCATGGTTTTGAGTGATCCTCACGAGAAGTGCACGTGCTAGAGGAAAATGTGGTGAAAAATCATCGTGGCTGTCAGCACCCACTGCACTGGAGCACACACAAGGAACAGGCTTCTCTGAGGACCACACTGTTTCTCTTCCCTGCTGGTCCCAGTGCCAAAGGAGTTTTTTGGGGCTTTTTAACCCTGTTTTCCTTTCTCTCTCTCTCCCCTCTTCTTTTTTTTTTTCCACTCTAAGGTAACTTTGAGTTCAATGTCTACCATCAGCTACAGACCCTGCAAATGCATCTTTCTGCACGCAAAACTTCTCTCAGCATGCGTTGTGCAACAACACGGTCAACATTCCCCAAGTTTTAGCTCCCCCTCACTAAGACAGAAGGGGGACAAATTTCTTCTGAGCTTGGCTCTGGTAGAGTGTTAATAGCCCCAGTGTAAAAGCAGCTGGTTCAGATGGGCATGTTCCAGTTTTTCAAACTGCAAATAAGGTACTACCTAATCCAGAGGATTCTCAAGACATGTGTTCTATGACAGCAAGTCACTTGTTTTTATTGCACTTTCATCTCCCTCTACCCCCACTTTTTAAAATCAAGAAGTCTGTCCTGTAGTTCACACCCAGAAAGGAACAATGGCAGATAGATATGGTATAAACTGGCAAATTAATTACCTTTATTACCATTTCTTCTTGAGTAGACATTACTGTAATGTCTGATTTTGCTAATGTACCAGAAATTTTCTGAGACCTCTGGCAGCTCAATGAGGTACAGCTTCTTGTCAGGTACTCCCATATCTTAATTCTTAAACTTCTTCAGAGTTTAGCCTTTTTGTGTTTCAATTTTTGCCCCAACTCTTAAATGTGAATATTGCTACCTTTCTCCTCCTGCAATGGAAGGAACACCAGGAAGCATGGGAGAAATCTGTGGATACTGAGATGCTAGAGTACTGCAAGGTCTACATTATTCTCCAAGATCAACTGTGAGCAATTTTAGAATGCGTGTCAAGGTGTTACTTTCTCCTTAAAACTGTAAGTTTATTAATTGCATTAGCTATTACAAGAATACTCTGGGTTATAAACGAGTCACCTACAACCAAAGCCATCTTGTAGAAAGAACATACTTACAGGTCATATGAGAACTTCTTCTGAAGGCTAGTCTGGTTCTTCTGAAACCAGTAAACATCCAGCTGTAGCTTTCCATATTCTGTCTGTAACTCTTTCAAGTGTTCTGACCAAAATAGGATTAAGACATATATTAAAGCAGACACACACAAATACACCTACGTATGTTACAAGAGAAGTATCAAGTAAGAGACTGATAGTAAGCATACTCACTTCATCCGCCATGCTTACTAAATTTTGTATAGAATAATAGTTGAATAATTTGTATAATAGTTGTATTCATTCATCAAAGATGCACAGGATTGGGCAAGGATAGCCTTTCAGCCTAACATATTAACAAAAATGGTGTGACAGTTTTTGACCTCATTTGCTCCATGAGGAATACTCCAACTTGTTTGCAAACCTTTGCTCTGCTAGGTTTCAGCTCATGAAGTCTTCAGGTCTATGAAATATTAATCAGAAAATAGCATGAAATGCCATTCATGTATATTAGCCATCTAAAGACAAGGTTACAATGCTTCTCCGAATAATACACAATTTACAGTTGTGTTCCTCAAAAACAGGCATCTACGATTTAGAATTTTCTTCCTAATAGAAAGCTCTGTGTGAGTGCGTCAGAAGGTGGCACCACAACATATTTACCTGGTTATAGAACTTAGGATCCATTCCCCAGACTTCCTGAGGAATAAATTGCTAACAATAATTTTGAAGAATCAATACAAATAGAAATTAATTGGACCAAGTTTTCTTATTTCATACAGGAGTTTCTGAATTCCCTTTGTTCTAAAATGCATGACCCAAAAACCCCAGGGAGAAACGCAAGAATACGCTGCAAAAGGTAGAATGAAGAATATATATAACAACAATACACATAGAAGCTAGTTTTATTCTGCATTATTCTATACCATAAGGGTCAGGAGCCCTACATCAAACACTACATAGATAAATCCTTCTACTGTTGAGGGAGATTAGTCTGACATCTCACTGAACTGGAACTTTGCACATGCAAGATCTAAGTTATTGCAGCTCCTGACTTGAAGAAAGGCAGCATTCTCAGAAGACTCCATAATAATGCAAGTTTTAAAAACAGGGGGCCTGAAAACTAGTGTAAGAGAGATACAGAGGGCTATTCCAACATACCTCGCAGATCCTGGATCAATCGTTCATTTACTGTGATGTTACTCATCAGCACTGCCTGGAAGGAGCAAAACAGAAAACAATGCTGTAATTGCAAAGGACCTGTGTTACCATTAATACTAGAAAAACCACCAATAAAAGCACTTGTTAAAGGATCTTTTCTTCGTGAAGTGCTGGGTTACAGCCAAACACAGAAACTTTTAGCTCCTCTAGAGAGTTCCTGCTGCAAACAACAAACACTCATTTTAACCCAGACTTCCCAGTAAACATGGGAGAAGATATTACAGCACTTGAGAGGAGGTATTTAAGGAGTCTGCTACTAAAATAGCTGGCTGCTTTATTCTGGTTTAATCTCACAATTGCAGTCACAGCCAGATTTACTGTATCTATCACTTGAAGGTATACAGCACACTACAGCTTGCTATCAACTACCCTCTATCCAGGCAATCAATACACCTGCATTCAGGCATGTGAGGATGAGCTACAAAAGCATTAGTCATAGAGCATAAAGAAATTCTACGAAAGCAACATGAAACCCTTGCACGGTATTGCTTTTCTAACTATCCTGTCCCTCTCTTTGACAGGAAAGTGCTGGAGTGACTTTTTTCCATTCCCTCACTTTGCTCTCTCTCTCTCGTTCTGAAGAGGGAGTCAATGTAAGAGCATGTTCTGTCCGTTCTTTCATCAATCTACTAACACATACATATACATGCCCCAAAACACCTGAATATTTACAGAACTAAGACAAGTGTAAAGGAAATTAATTCCTGTGAGCCAGATATCAGGATAACTCAGATCCATATTTAACGTTTTGAAAGTCTGGTGCAGAAGAGTCCCTTCAGACTACAAAATTGCGAGATCCACTGACCCTTCAGAAACCAGCCAGCCCAGTCTTAGGAGCGTATTTCCTACACTTCACTGCCAGTTTCCTTCTTACCCTTCTCCCAGGAGACCCCAGTGTTCTGCAGGGGGTCCCAGGTCAGGATACATCAAGCCCCCACTTTCCTGAAGTTTCTGCTCAAGTATTAATGTTTTCTTAAGTCCAAAGTGCAAATAAATTAATGTATCCGTTCTGTCTGCTCAAGTCACCCTGAAACACTGACAATGCTATCAGTGCCTTTTTTCACAAAGACTACAGTAGTAAGTGCAGCTTGATTAGGAAAAGCAACATGTTCAATCACAGTGGGACAGCACACAGCAGGGGGATGGATTTGGCTTTTGTTGACTCTTTAAGGAGTCCCAATTCAAAGAGGAAATGTATTCATATATTGATGAAGAGGCAGCCATTTTCAGCCCAATAAAAGAAATATTCCTACACCATTCCATACATACAGCCAGTCCATGAACACCACCGTGAAACCTCAAGAGCAAGGGCCTTGCTCCTTTGTTATAGAGGAAAAAATAATAACAACATAAAATTTGGATTGTTTTATATCTATCTTCTTGTTTCTCATAGGACAGGTGGAAAAAAAAGGGGCTGGAATTGTTATCATTTGTTTACTGGGGAAAGGAAGTTAATGTTTTGATGGAAATGCCAAGTTTTGCTAATGCATGAGCAACATAATCAGGTTGTTCCATGATTTTCATCTTCAGGTTCTCCAGCATTAGCCATCATCAGAAACTGGAAAAATCAGTATGACATGGCAATTTTATGTTCCTACAGTTTGTTTTGTTGTGGTGTGGGGTTTTTTTTTTTCCTTCAAATGAAACTCCCAAATACCAGGACCACCTCTTTGACAGGAAACCAGACAAGCATTAAATATTTTGTACACATTAGGACAATAATAACTGTAATTAACTGAAGTGAATACATGGATATGCCATGTGAAAAGGCTCCTTAAACACAATGAAGAAAAAAAACCAAACATGCCTAGGTCTTTCTGGATTGCATATAAAACTTCCGTTTGGCAATGCTACACCTAGTTCCCTGAATTTGTGGGTAGAAGGCCAGTAAAAAAAAAAAAAAAAAATCAAGAAAATTTAGTTAGACGTTTAACTTGAGCAGGAAATACTGTTTAATCATTTACAGGGCAGTGCTCCAACTGCCAGCTTGCAATCCAACTGTATCAATAACGTCAGGTTTTCTGTTCCTCCTGCTGTTATCTAAGTGATAACTAATCTTCACCTCATGGCTGTGAATTAGGCAGACATTATTTTCTTTTGGGGTTTTGCGCTGGTTCAAGAAAGCAAAGTGCCAGGAAACACTCAGCAAACACATGCCAAAATTCAGTTCTAGGATGAAACTCTCATTTTAAATCTCACTCAGCCCAAAAATCAATACCTATGATCCCTAGGAGTGAGAATCTAGCTTTTGGGAACTCACTGTATCACAGTCTGACCTTCTGTGACAGCGTAACTCTGTAACATAGCTTGTTATATGTGCAAACATTTCTTGCACAGAAGTCCCTTGTCACTATCACAGAGGAAAAGCCAGTCTCCCTACCAGAGTCAATGGTGAGGACAGTAGGTCTTCAGAAATCAAAACCCAAAAGCCACACTGCCACTAGCAATGATGGAAAAATCTTGCTCCGGCTGAACAGCAAAATTTTTAATGACAACTGCCAGAGATGGATTTGGTCTTTTTATTCACTGCAGAACATGTCTACATAAGTCATACTCCACTTAAGAAACACAAAAGTTAAGGTTATTTAAAAAAAACACCCAAAACATAATGCATAATGCTTCCCGTGAGGAAGCTTTGAGATAAATTATTTCAAAGCATATGTTTTGAGCACATATTCTGAACTATTTACATGCATTTCATCCAATTAACGTCTTACACAGTAGCCTCCACAAACATATTCCTTGGAGGCATTACTACAGTAACTCCTTCAGCATTTGCTACTGCAATAAACCCAGCTAACCCTGTAACCCTGCCACAATAATAAAGCTAACCCAAGCACACTGAACCGAGGTAACATCCTTTGTAAGGCTGACTGCATGGTGTACACAAAAGCATAATGAGACACTGCAACAATATTGCAACAATAAAATGTCAAAGAGCTTGATGAAAGTAAACACTGGTTTCAGAATTACAACCTAAGAAAAAAGAGACTTTGCTTTCGCAAATACAGCTCTCACAAGGAGACAAATATGAGCCACAGCATCAGTAAATCAGCTGCTAAGAACAAAACCAACTGGGAACAAAGCAAGCTGGAAGGGTAAGATTTATACATGCAGGAAATAGCAGAAACAAGCATTTATAATTAATGAGAGAGAAGAAGGACACCTATTTCACGATTAACTCAAACTGATCAAAGTCCTTACCTCAAAGATAAGGAGCAGTTCTGCCTTGCATGCTCCTACTGTTCCCTACTACCACGCTGGCAGCACAGTGCAAGACATATTTTGATTATCTGCTGTTCATTTCTTAATTATATCTCATGTATACTTCAGTGGAGGAGTACCAATTGAAGCAAGCCTCATACAAATTTCAAGCCCAAAATGGAAGAGACACCTTTCTTATAAACCTATTTCTCACTGAACTGAATTCCATTCAGAAATTCCAGACTTTTTGCATCCTCAATAAAGGGGGGAAAAAAAAAACACCCAAACAGCCAAACAAAAAAACCCACCCTCAAAACAAAACCAAAAGCACAGCATTATTGCTAAAAAGCAATACTGGTAAAGATCGGGAACTCTGTCTTTTTTCACATCCTCTCCTAAAAAGCAATCTAGACCCTCTTTTTTTGTGATGAAGGACACATGCACCATGGCACACACCTCAAAACTGCAGAAACCACCAAATCGTAAAGTTATCAATTTCTTACATGCCCAGTGGAAGAGAGAGGAAGTTGACACATGTGAATAACAAATTACCTTTACAGGTGCAAGGCAAGAGCAAGTGGATTGGAGAAAATAAGCCCTGTGTAGCTACAGGATTTTCATGACTTTGTTATAGTTAATTAAGACCCAAATACTAGGCAGTTAAAACAAAACAGAATCCTATGATGTGAGAATATTAATATAAAAGCTGTACAGGTACATATAAGCTACCTCCTGCTTTCCTTTCTGTCCATTCATTTTGCTACGAAGACTTAGAAATGCTCCAGTAGTTAACTCCTAAGCTACACATACTCTAAATTTCCACCCTTAGGGTGCTTACAGTTCAGGTAGTCCCAGACCATCGTTTTTTAAAAATGCATTTTAAACAGAAGTAGTTTTCTAGACCTATGCTGTACCTGTTTTGAGTAAGCAGACTGATTTCTCTTGCTAATTTACTAACACCATGCTATGGCAAGAAGAGTGGGGCACAAGGCGGTGCTTGCTATTCCTTAAAGCCTTTTCAAAACAAGGAGATAAAACATTGTTTGGTTTAAAAAACATAAGCAGGCTTTCTTCTCTCTCCCCCACCGCCCAGTGTCATTCATTTTGAGCAGAGCTAACTCTCTGCATACTGATAGGTATTTTGTCTCAGAAGGCTGTGCTGGGAATTGAAATTTTCCCAGAGGGAGGGGATCCGAGAGCAGCTGTGGCCGGCGTGAAAGGACACTGAGCAACAGCAGGACGGTGAAGTGCTTCACATAAAATGCACAAAGCTTAGCCCCTCTCCTCAGTAAAACAAGATGTGGGCTGGAAAAGAATTACATAAATCCAAAGAAAATGACAAGCTACAAAAGCACGTTCTAGCAGTTAAAAATAAGAGAGATCACACGCATTGTTCTCCTGCTACACTCTTCAAAAAGACTATCATGGCTGTGTATATCCCAGAAGCTACAAGTCCTGAATACCAACCATACAGAATATTGTTCTTCAGAAAATTGCTTACAGATTAGAAACAGACCTTTTGCACTCCTGATGCCTTATCTGTTATTACTAAGTGTTCGCGTAAGCTCTCTTGATCTCTTCAGTCTATTTCTGTATGGAATTCCAGAAGCCATTTGCTAAACCTACATTAATCCTTAAACATTCAAGCAGATTTTTTTAAAAGCAGACTGGCGATAGAAGTGTTTTATACGTACTCAGACCTAAGAGAATAATTAGGACAGGAATTTCCCAGGATTCCATTGCGGCAGTGACTGGTGAGCCCACTGTGTGTACTTAAGCTCTGACTCCCTCCTTCCTACCTTCTCTGCCCTTGTCCTTTAACTAGCACAGAGACAGTCCGAGTAGAAAAGAAGGCAGATTTACCTCAGTCACTACCACGCTGCCACCAACAACGACTTTAACATGGCAAGTATTTTACTAGAGTATTTGTTTGGAATGAGACTAAAACAGTGCCGTAATTATTCTTTATTTTGTCAGCAGAGTAAGACACAGCGAGCAGACACGAAATGCAATTAAGATGGGTCTCAAATATTACTTGAGAGTTGTTTTTGATAAGGAATCCAGATTGTGAAAGTTTGTTCCCGTATAGATTTCTTCTATAAACAGAAGAACCATAATTTCACCCTGAAAAAGAGGGGGTTTTGAGACAGACCATTCACGCCTACACATCAGGTGAAAACATTTCCATTTTCTTTAAAAAACAGCAAGAACTAAACAAAATCCCATTTATCACTCAAAGATTTATCTAGTTAGTTAAACAGCTCATATTACTTGTAAAGCAAGTTCAGAGACTCGGAGTTTGGATTTGAATTCATCCTTCCTGGACTAGGTAAATACTTCCTGCTAATCCCCATGGGGTAAATGAAGTTCAGTTCAAGGACCAAGCCCTTTAATCAGAAAGGGTGAATTCATTACTTGCCTCCCAGGAGTCCTGGATTCCACTGGAATCCATGGAGCCGAAAAACCAAGGATACGTGTGTGCCTGTGTGCATACAGAAATACGTGTGTATAAACATGAGAACATACAACACACACTTACACATGGATATGGATATAGATACACACACAAGAAAGCACTCAGAAACAGTCTTTTCTTATAAGCCGCATCCCTCTGTGGGATAGCCTCTGATTCTGGACAGCTTCTTCCAATCAAAGTCTTCAGTGAGGAGAACTAGGCTCTCCCTTTCTTCCCTGCCATCATATCAGAGGCATTCCTAAATTAGAGTGGAGGAATCCATGCCAGCTTTGCTGATGGCATCTTTTTACAAACACACAGATTCCCAGTAAAACAACTCTCCCTATTCTTAATTCCCAGAGTGGGAAAACAAACATCATCTGTGCAGGGTATTTGCTCACATTTTGCAACAAGAGCAAATTTTGAATTTGCCACACGAAGTGGTGTACGGCCACGTACACGCTCATCCTTCCACTTCAGTCTCCTAAGACATGCTCTTCTCCAGTCACAAAAAGCAGAAGACAGGAAATCAGTCCATTGCACCACTTTTATCTAATGCTTCCTGCAGCATCAGCTCCTGGGTTTTCAACAGCAAACTTCATAGACTACTCCATTACTGAACAACTGCAGTTAGGGACGATGGACAGCGAAGTACTTCAGAGGAAGGAATAACCAGATTAGTTGGCCCCAAAATCCACCTTGCCCAGCATCCTGTCTCTAACATTGGATGCCAAATGAACACCAAGGCAGTCATAAAGCACAGTATTTTTCCAAGCTGCAGCTTCTTCTTGCTGAGGAACGCTTGGGGCCAGAACACCTTCATATTGGGTGGTGGGGCAGGTGTTTGTCCAAGGTTATGCAGTTGCTTTTTAACCCACACAGACCCACTGCAACTGAGCATTACAGATGTCACAGACATGCAGCTCCACCAACTATTGCATCTGCCCTGTCTCAACTACAACTTGCTGACTGCACTTGAAGCTTATCAGCGGATGGAGGACACCTGTTTCTTGCCTCTCCCAGACATGAGTGCTTTCTGCACCATTTGGGATCCTGGAGATGTCTGTGACAGCTCTCCTCAGCCTGTAATCTACACTGTGGATTTCTGTAGAGAAACTACTGCAAAGCTTTGGTTATCCTCCTTGTTCTCCTCTGCATGCCTTTCCCAGCACTCCAAAACTCCATCAGTAAGGTCCGCACAGTACAACAAACTAACCCAGTTTATTTCTAAGCTGCTTTATAACTTCTGCCTTATCACAGAATCATAGAACAGTTTAGATTAGAAGGGACCTTAAAGATCATCGAGTTCCAACCCCCCTGCCCTGGGCAGGGACACCTCCCACTAGAGCAGGTTGCTCAAAGCCACTTCCAGCCTGGTCTTGAACACTTCCAGGGATGGGGCATCCACAACGTCCCTGGGCAACATGTTCTAGCGCCTCATCACCCTCACAGTGAAGAATTTCTTCCTAACATCTAATCTGAATCTCCTCTCTTTATGTTTAAAACCATTACCGCTCGTCCTATTTTATTTTTTTTTACCTCATGTATGTGCTTTTACACCTTGCAGGACAGAATTGCAATGCAAAAAGATGCCAAAACAGAATAATGGGTTTCACCTACATGCAAACTGGGGCACCTTCTCAGAGCATAGTAAATTTAAACAATGCCCACAGCATTCAGCAGCAATACCAACACCCACTATCAGGAAGCAGAAGCCACAAGAAGGCTGATTGCTCACTGGATTGCTGACTGTCCTGAGCTATCTTTTTAATAAATATATACATTTTAAAAAAATAAATACATACACAAAGTATACCTCACCATTTTTAAAGTATATATGAAGACTGAACCCAATGAGATATTATCAAAGAAATATGTTTGTCTCAAAAGCAGAAAGAATTGGCTTATTATTTCTTTGAATACCTTGGATAATATGACAAAATATTGATTTCAAAATACACTAGAAATATATGCCATTGGTGTGCATATTAATGAAACAATTCCACCTTCCATTTTGATTCAATTTTCTTCCTCTAAGTCATTCAAAGATTATTCTGGTGATATTTTGTTCATGCACTGCAAGTTTCGAGCAGCTAACTGTCACCTAATGGTGAACGCTTTACCCAAAGAGCATCTACTACCATCATTGGTTGTGTCTGTTCAGTTTGGTGAAAATAATAGTCCTATAAACTTCAGTCAGGAGACTCCACAGGAGAAGCAATAAACGCAGAACAAATACACTCAACTAAATACTTCTGGCAACAGTGAGAAAAGTGGTATCAATGAGTAACAGCCGCATTTGAGGTGGTACCAACAACATGAGGAAAACAACAACAAAACAGTTTGCAGGAAACTACACAGCAGTAATCGTACACACTGACATTTAAGTAAGTATGTTCACAGTGCTCACAAGGGATTGCCATCCCTCTGGCACTGTTGCACTGGCAGGAGCACCGCCACGAAAGGTGAGTCTAACCTTCTTATGCCTCCCAGTGCTATTGGGTTTTGGAGGCTAAAGGCCAAGGTGCCACAAAATTTGTAATGCATTTAGAAATAAACATCAACCATTTATGCCTAGAAATATATAGAAATATATTTGGGAATACAAGTATATCTGTTGGTGGAGCTTCTTCTTTTCCATAAGTTTTAAAACATTAGTATACAGTAAAGAAAGTGAGAGGCTGACCCAACGCTAGTAACAACAATTAAAGAGGGACTAGAGGTTTTATTCAAAAGTGCTGTTACAGCTTCTTGTATTTCACATATCATACAATGATCGTTATAATGTGCATTCAGTGTTCATTTTCTAAGTATTATACAATGACACATAAACTAAATGCTTTGCCACATCAACACTGACTGTATGCCCACCATCTGGAACATTTGACGAACCTTACTCTGTTCTAGACAGTGCCTTGGTAAAACCAAAGTCTCACAGAAATTTGTGTCTAAAAAAAGGTCCTACCTTCTCTTCCTCATGTACTCTGTTGGCATTTTCCATCTGAAAGCTATGCAAAGACTGGATTTTGTCAATCTGGTGTCGTTGTTTCTCTAGCTCCCCTTGGAATTCATTCTTTTTGAGCTCCACAGCGCCCCTCTCCGCTGCTGCCCTGCGGACCTTGCCTTCCAGATCCATGATCCGACCCTGAGGAAGAGCAAATTAGTCAAACCAAACAGAAATGCCTCCCCTTTGCCAGACTCTTCTCCAATACAGTCAAGGAATACCAAATTTCACAGAACTAACAGTGCTAATGTCGAAGTCAACTGGTGATACCCGCCACACACACCAGTTTTACATAAGTTACCAGTAGAGCATATTCTGTAAAGACTATCAAAATTTCAATTAAAGATAAGAGAAATGCAAACCTGCTACAGTACTTGAGCTTAAATAAGCACCAAACTTGCTCCCCTCAAGAAAAAACATAAGAAAAGATTGCAGTCTACAATCTCTCTCAAGTACAAGGTCAAATAATTTCTTAAATCTAATTCAGACAATTCTGACATCACTGCACTTCCCAGTGCTCATCCTAAACTAACTCGGAGGGAAAACTATCTCTCAAATGAATACGTTTTCCCAGAAGGCCAGGGAAAGAGTGGAGGGAAGAAAACACTGACCTACTTTTACATAAACAACTGACATGTGGCTGCTACACAAAAACACATGAGAAAAACTCATAAACAGAAAATCATCATTCTTCTTGAGTGCTCAAAGAGCAGTGACAATTAGAGGAAAATTCAACACCATCACATATTGCACACAAAACCACAGAGACATAAGGTAAAGGAATCAAGCCTGATGCTGCCACAGCTTTTATTCCTTTTTTTTTTTTTCTTCTTTTCAAGTACCAATTTATTTTTGCAGGACGTTGTTTCTAATTATTTCGGGTTAAAATAGCTCTTCAGCAGGAAGGAAAGGTACAAAGACACCTGGCAGGAAGTGGGGTGGGGCGTGGAGTATCAACAAAATTTGATACCCTTTCTACCCCCAGGTAGAAAGACCTGTGGATTCCAGGTGGATTAAAAAATAGATACTATATAAACTCTGCATCTTCCAAGATTCCAAGGAAATGGACCAAATCTTCTTAAAGCACAGTATACTGCATATTACTGCCTTCCTGCTCTGCTTTTCTGCCACAGAAAGCAGGAGAGTAGAGAAGCGGCAGGAGGGGGCTGGTGGGGAAAAGGAGAAGCACTTGCAGTTTAGCTGCAAGAGAAAAGCAAAGCACTTACTTCATTTCAGTCATAATAGCTGCCAAGTCTTGCCAACAAACGAATGGGCTGACAGAGAGCTTTAGAAGCTCCATCTGCACCTTCAGCTACACTTTTATTTCATTCTGAGTGCATGACTACACAGAAGTTAAATGATTTTTCAAGCTAACTTTGGGAGAAACATGTGAGATGATGGAGTACATCAGTAAAAGTAAAGAGGACCTTATGTCCCTAGATTACTGGGATCAAGAATAAGCTAGTATGGTAACTTATTCTCCTCACAGCCATGCTGCAAAATTTTCAGCAGTACTGACACAGTTACTACCTGCTTGTAGCCACCATCCTGAGGCCACTGACTAAAGGGAAAACAAGGGATGACCAGAATCCCAGAAGACAGGGCATCATATTCTACACACCAAGGGAGAGCTGGCATATACCCTTAACAGCATGGCCAGAGACAAACAGAATAGTGTCCACTCTGAGGTGAAACAGGAGTTCAAACCCTACAGCTGTCAACTCAGTCCTGAAATTTGACTCAAAGAGGACACAAATTCAGTGGAAATACTGAGCAGCTCTTACCAGCCGCATTTAATCACCAAGTTGTTAAGTTTTAAGGTTTGCTTGTTAGAAACAAACAAAAAAAGAACCATTCTGCATGGTCACAAACCAGCAACTTTATTCACATACTCCTCAGCTTCAGAACACACACTGCAAAAAGGATTAAAATCTAAGCTCAACAGTGACAGAAAAATAGCAGACAAGGTATTTATTCCATGTGTGTTGTGTGCCTTCTTAGGAAAGGTTTCTAAGAAATACAAATTCAGATTTTTGGACCCTGTTTCTGAGCAAGCCACATTTCCCTGAACTTGGTGGGAAAACACACATACATTCTTATGGGTCATGTAAGAAAAAAATGTTAGGGAGATGAGCAAATTGCAGATGCCCATTCAGATTAAAAATGGAGTGCCAGTCTCAGTACACAGTTAGGAAAAAAATGCATAGGATGGCATTTGCCACATCAGTAGAATGACACAGCACAAGACAGCTGAAAACTTTGTGTGAGCACAAGTGACAAGTACCATACAAGCAGGTCTTTAAGTTTTGGAGCCCCCTTACCTACAAATAGGCATTCCTCCCATTCCCCCCCATCTCTAACTACTGGTAAGAAACAAGTGTAATATTTGTGAAAATTCCCACAATAAGCTGAAGCTCCTGGCCCACAAAATGCAGGGTAAGCATCCTTCTGGTTGTGGACCATGTTTGTTAAACACACTAGTACTAGACAACACACAGAGCAATAGGAAAGTTACCTGCAGATCCACACTGCGAGAACTTGCAATCCAGTAATTGAAACCCAAAACAATGATGCACGCCACAAGTGCAGCCACAAGGAGAGGTGGAGACTTCATCCCTCGGCAGCTGTTTCCTAGTCCTACCATTTCATGGAAAAAAACCAAATTCAAAGAACCACAGCAGTGTGGAAACCTGCAAATTAAAACAGACACATTATATTGCATCCTCCATTAGAGTTATTTTATACACACAATGAAACTTTACTGCAATAACACAACACCTCTCAGATGAAGGGACTATGCCCAGCAAGGAAGTCTAGATATTTCCACCTGAAGGACAAAGGCCAAATTAGCAGACACTTCTTTGATTTCAGTGGTAAATTGTATTAAATGCTGTATGCTTTGATCCTCAGCTGCTTTCTCTGCTCCTAACAGAAAATAAATAACCTTGCTTTAACGAATGAGCAGTACCAAGGGTACTACTGGTTGCTACTGAAACCTGGGTTGTTTCTATGGAACAGCCCATCTTAACAGAAAAGCAGCAGCAAAGGGCAGCTGCAAATCTGTTTTAAATAGCCCATATTCATCCTATGAGATGACAAAACCTGCTGTTAATGAGCGTAACAGCTCAACAAATCCTCAAAGCTCCACTGAGAATCTCAGGCACAGCTTGTAATAGATTGCTTGCTCTCTTGTGAACTGAAACTTTGCTTTTTTCTTTCTGCGCTCCGCAGACAAAAGCCAGCAAAAATGAGCACAGAAGATCTGACAGCAAACACAGATGCATTGCAAGACACTAACTAAATCTGAAATGGGTGCATTTACTATTAATACACTGTACCGTCTCTCAAGGTGCATACTGTTAAATAAACCAACTTCTTCCCTACAGGTGCAATTCACAGGCTTTGAGGTATTTAAAAACTAATGAACGGTAGCGACTCTCAAAGGGTTTACACATGGACATATGCTGTAATCACAGGGGAAGATGGTGATGCCAGCAGTTAGCATGTACCAGAAATGCCGATTCTACTGTACATCCAGCACTTAAGTCCTTCAACAGCTCACCTATACCTAAGTATGCACAGGAGCCCTCTGCAAGATCCCCTCTTTGCATTCAATTTAAGATATAACCCATCTTCCTTATTTGTCAGCAGGGAGTGCAAAATACTGCCAGACTGGTGAAGGTTTCAAGTCTATTTGTTAATTTGAAAAGTCTGTGAATTTGTTTGTATTTGGGGATGGAGTATAGATAGAGCCTGAGAGTAAGACACAGCTTCTTGAAAACATTCCCTCTTTGTGTACATACACACACACATACCCAAAAACCAAACCCAAAGCAAACCCAAAAAGGTGTGCATAGCTGCACAGGTCTGTGTGGCCGTGTACTCTCCCTGTTTTGCTCCCCCTCTCCCCCTCAGCTCCTGCTCGGGCCATGGCCACCACGGCCATCAGAATAGCAGTTGTGGTAACTTGCACCCGGACTTCAGGGGATGGCTGGCAGCATAGTCAAAATACTGTCTGGAGTGGGGACCTAGAAACTCTGTTCCCATGAGAATATGGCTATAGGTCAATTATCTTACTGTATAAGTAGTGGACAGCCCAAGAGCCCTTGGAGCTCTCCTGTGTGGCAGCGGCTGCACGCCAGGATCTCCCCTTTCGTGAGGACGCTCGCTTAAGGTTCTACTCCTCGAGGCTGAGAGATTCCTTGCCACAACAGACTCTTGGTAAGTGACTAATAGCATGCTAAACTTTGAAATCTTAGCTAAGTAATGTAAAGGATTGATTGCGCATATATGATCCTTTAGACATAAACCGTTGACCAAGTCTGGGACTAGGATTGGATCCAGCCGCACCTGGAGTCCTCTCTGAGAAGGAGTTCAGAAAGCCAGGGGGTCCTTTCTGAACCTCGTGACTCAACGGGAGGGTCTCCCTGACAGCTCTTCCTGACCCTGTCCTCTATGCAGCAAATAACCAAGTGTGCCTTGACATTGAATCTTGTAAAACACTATCACATTTACTACTGGTTTTATCGCACTTACTACTGGTTTTCTTAAATCACTGTTTCACCTTAATAAATATTTCACTACTTCACTCTAACTAGTGAAGTTAATCACTCTGTCCGCAACAGTCTGACACCCATGGCCTGAGTTTCTTACCTAAGGAAATCTCAGCTGTGGAGCAAACTGACACAGGCAGCAGAGTTCCAGTGGACACCCACAGGATGACGTACAGCAGAGGTAACATCAATGGAAAAACCAAAGGTATGGGGAGGAACCATGCATTTTTGTGGTACAGCAAAAAAAATCAAGATGCACTAGACTAAACCAGATAGAGATACGCCCATATTTCCAATACGCAGCTAAGAATTGCAGAAGCACCTACATCTTGCACAGACAGTTCTCCTGCCATGCCATCCTAAGAGGAGCCCCCAACTAGTATGGAGCCACCTCATCTTACACAGATTCCCTGAAAACCAAGAATCACATATCTCCATAGTGGCAAAAATGGGAAGTGGAAAATGGGTACGATCAGGACTGCCACAGCAGCTAAAAACAAGATAATTAATTTACTTTTGCATACTGGAATAAAATACTACATTTCAAAAAACATATCTCAGAACTAGTCATGAAGTCATTCATATCCTGGTCTTCGCTGTAGGAGTATTATTTGGTACACTTGAGAACATGGAAAAATAACTAAACATAGCACTGCAAGACATCCTGCATCGTTCCAAGTGTTAGCTGAATAAAATAGTTGGTATTTTCCTCCTGGCAGTCAGAAATAGAGAAAGCAGTTCCTGTTAACTATCAGTAACAACTTGTGCTGGAATTTAACTACCAGATAAATATATGGGACTAGCAGTTTAGCTCAAAAATTTTCAGAGATAAAGCAACTATATCATTCAAGGATGAATGACGCTTAAAGTACATGAGCAAAACCATGTTGAAGTGATGATGACACACCTACCAAGTACACAAATCCAGCAGCCTTAGCAACTCTTTCAGCTATTAAAAAAGTTGGGAGTTTTTTTGCTATTGAAAGCAAGCAGGCAAGAAAGTGTTGCTTTCACTAAAGCATGTTTGACTTCAATACATTGTTCTCTCTAGAAAATCCAACGTTACTTGCCCTTAAATAATTTATGTTAAATTAGGAATATATTTTTATACTCAAGAGAAAGAAAGGCAAAACGAAGAGGAAAGAGATGAAACAGAAGAATCTTCCATCCTAATAGTACAGACTTCAAACATTACTTCATTTGCAATATCGATAGTCTCTCTCTCATCAGTTTAAAAATTAAAAATGTTTAACTCTCTATCACAGATACACACACATGCATGTATTCTGGACAAGAGATAAGCAAATGAGCTCAGTAAGTACATTTACATGAAAATGTATTTGTACATGCTGTTTTCCAGGAAACATCTGGTTTGGCACAGTTATTTCAGTTGAAAATAAAATATGTTTCTGATTTGATGGGTAAGAAAGTGATTTTACGGAACATCAAGGAATCCATCTTCCATGAATGTTTACTACAGATGTGAAAATGAGATGCTGTATCACGTGCATAATGCTCTACATTTGGTAGTGCATAAAATTCCTGACTTCTGAACAGCAGATTTTATCCTTCTGCATTGCCAACTTAACAGCGCTTCATCAAGAGAGAGACGTTTTAGACTCCAAGATATTCAAGCAAATTAATATATAGCATATTTCTGAGCAACTCCTTCTTTTCCTACACTTAGCTGAAGTAGGATAGCTGGTATCCAGCAATCTTCCACTACAGACAATTAACAACTGTGCTGACTAAATCTCAAGACTAAGACATCAGAGGCAAACGCAAAACAATTTGTATATTTCAGACTCCCAGAAGGAAAACCAAGTCTCTCTGCTCACAAAGTCCAGCTCTGTGCATTTACATGAGACCCGCTGAGCGGGAACAAGCACAACAGATGAGGAATTCAATAAAAGGAGCACACAGTTGACGGTAGGGGGATGCAGAAGGGGTCACTTCTCCCCCAGCCTGCTTACCTGCCTACCAACCACCTCCTCCACCCCCCAGCCACCACACGGTATGAAGCCAGCATACGCCAGGGCAGCACATGAAGACCAAGAGCAGCTGGAACAGCCACTGAAAAGCAAAGGGGCATCTTACTTGGAGGTCTGCACCTCCGAGTAAGGACAGAGCCTGAGGAAAACCCCTTTGGAAAAGCTGGGCCATAAGCATAGACAAAAAAGAGGAAACAAAAAAAAAAAAAAAAAAAAAACCACAAGAAAATAGGGGAGGAGCACGCAGCTGCTTGCTCATGCCCCCTCTGGTGTGATGGGGGAGAAAATCAGAAGAGTAAAAGTGAGAAAACTCATGGTTTGAGATAAAGACAGTTTAATAGGTAGAGCAAAAGCCACGCACGCGAACAAAGCAAAACACAGAATTCATTCACTACTCATCACCAGGCAGGTGTTCAGCCATCTCCAGGAAAGCAGGGCTCCATCATGTGCAATGGTTACTTGGGAAGACAAGCATCATCACTCGTGAACATTCCCCCCCTTTCTTCTTCTTCCCCTGCTTTTATACTGAGCATGACATCACATGGCATGGAACATCCCTTTGGGCAGCTGAGGGCAGTTTTGGGAAATAGTTTTTTCATTCATAGGCTATCTATCTCTGAAAGTTGCTTCAGAAGGTTCATTGATTAATGTTACTGTTCAGCATTGGTTAGTGACATTTTCTTGGGAAAAGCAGTACCTGCAGGCAATGGCTGTATTCACTTTTGATGGTTCACCTTGAATGCCTGTGTAGCCAGAATTGTCATTCTTTCCTCTTCCAGAACAATATATAAAAGACCAAGTCCCTTATTTTCAACCTTTCTAGCTTCCATATGTGTAAGCCAGTAAGAAGAATGCAAGACATTCTTTTCTATAGACGTTATACTGTTGGACAGATTTCTGTCATACCGATTGCATAGGCAATAAAGGATGCCAGAATTGCAAGAATTTGCTGCAACCTTTGCATACATATGCAGTCACCTGCACAGGTCATTGACTGAACCTTTTTTTTTTCCTCGAACATGGGCTGCCACTTGCAAAACTTGGGCCTATTTGACTGAAATTCAGAAAGTGCAGTTTCTAGCCTGACCTCTGCTGTGCACAGTTAAAGTGCAAGTCAATCTTCTCTGTTCCTCTATAAGCCAGAACAATAATGCTTTTTCTATTTAATGAGGGCACCAAGAGGCTTAATCTATTAGGGCCGGGCAGCGCAGGAAGTACGGGGCGCGGAGGAAGTGTGGGGGCCGCCCCCGCCCCGAACAGGGGGAGCCCCTCGGTGTCGGGGGCTGGTGCGGCGGCGGAGCCCGGCGGTGGGACAGCAGGTGTCCTGAGGGGTCGGACTATTCCAGAGTGTTATAGTTAAAATAAAAAAAACTAAGTCCGAAATAGATTCACTAAATATTTATTAAGGTAGGAAAGCAAAAGCAGCGCTGGGCGGCCGGGGAGTCGCAGCTCCACCAAGGGCTCGCAAATTCAAGCAAGCTGAATAGCTGTTTTTATCCTCACAGAGGTCGGGTTCGACACCTTCAGTACGCCCCTCTGCTTCTTCCCTTATCTTTACTCCATCTGGTCTGTCTTGCTTCAAGGCGGTTTCAAGACAATGTCAGCTGTAAATCAGTTCATACCCTTCCCCTTCTACCTGATTAATTAGTACAGAGTTAAAACACGGATAACATTGGGGTTAAGCTTATTTTGTCAAAACAGGACATTCTCATGTGGTTTAGCAATATAACATTGTGGACTTCTCTTCTTGTTAGGGAGTTCTCAAGACTGTCACAACGGGCTCGTTCTTCTTGCTTAAATTGTTTGGTCAGTAAATTACAATCCGACTTTAGGCGAGTTTTCCAAGGACCGAGGGCTACCAGGCAGCACTGAGAGGACACACAACCCCAGCCTGGCCAGACAGGTCAACAGGCGACCCCCAAAGGCAGACAACGGTGCTATCACCCACCACCTTTTGCAGATTACTCCCTAGTTTTTCAGTGAGATTCTGGATTAAATTGCCTGTGTTTTTTCAGACATTGCCATGAAATTCCTATGTCTGATTGCTTGAAAGAAAATTTACCAGCTTAACCAAGGAAGCTAATCAAAACCTTTTTCATTGACAACAGTTAGTTACACCCAGACACGACTAAATCAGACTAAAGGGTACCAGAAACTGGCTTTTTTAAAAAAAACAAACCAACCAACAACTTTTTAAAAGTAATTCTTAGAAAAACAAATCAGCAAACATTTGTGCACCCAGTCTTCCAAAAAGGGGTGATGGTCTGGGGGCAGGTGGAAATGGAGAGGTGACACAAATGAGTCAAAACTTTTCATTTTTAGTTTCATATATGGTTAACATACGGTAGTGATCATCCTTGAAAGAGGAATCCAGTTGTTGGTTCTCACTCACAGCTGGATGTTACCCCAAAAAACTACCACTCGCAGTCAGATATTAAGAACCAGTCAACGCCAGCAGCAACCTTTATGCTTTCAAGGGTGCACCACTTGCCGACACCAGTCAGAAACTGGGCCTAATACACTGTCACAACACGTGGAAAAGAGATTTTTTTATCATCCTCTGCAGCAACACTGATTGGGGGTGTTTATTCTGAAGTCTGCAAGTGAAAAGAGGTCAAATGAACATTTTTCCAACAGAGACTTAAAGTTTGTACAGTGAACTCAAGGCTGCTCACCACGAACTTTCTAAACACCTTCCACAGGAATCTACAAACTGCAGGTTGAAAACAAAACAAAACAAAGGAAAAACAAAGACCTCTGGAAACATTCAGCAACAGTCACTTTTCAGACTTCTGTACTTTGGTTGACTGTCTCACTTCAAAGTGGCAACCACCCAATTAAAAAAAAAAAAAAAGAATTCCAACATAGATGCCGCAAGATGTTACTGAGTCACTGTTTGCCCAAATTATCAAGTTACACTTTTTACAGGAACGGGAAGGGAAGAAGTACTTACAGTACAAAACATTCAGCAACTGCACTCGGGAATAACCATCATTTGATACTCAATTCAGATCCTAGGTCTTCCTTTTCTAATGCATTTTAAACTAGAAGTAACAGAACAGAAGAGTACGAAAACACTGAAAAAGTGTTATCTGCTCAGTGACTGTTACCACTTGCCACTAATTATTTTTCATATCAGAAAGCAGCTCTTCTTTCAAAAGACTACTTTACAAGAAGATAATAACCAACCACCCACAATGACCTGCCCTTTATCTAATTAAAGCAAAATCCCAAATAGGCGTGTAGCTAAAAAGATGCCAGAGGTTTAAGGTAAGTATCTGTTCTGATGAAGGAAGTTAGGTAACCAAAGGTAACTTGACAAAACCTTCTAAAATTCCCAAAGTTTCCAGACATGCTATCTAGGTGCGCTTGTAGACAATACTACTACCACCTGAAAATACTGTGTATGAAAACAAAATTAAACAAGCAAAATCATACAACAGAAGGATCTCAACAGTTCTTTTTAGCAAAATAGTTCATTGAGGGCATTTTTCTCACACAACATAAACTACCTTGTTAGGATGACAATTAATATGACACCAACCTGATGTTAAAAAAAAATAACTAGGAAACTGAGTATAAGTAAGTGTAGATATGTGGTGAGAAAGCCACAAAATTGCCACCATCCCCCCCACTCCTGTAACACTACAGGTAGGGTTTCACTGTAAAACACGCAAACCTCCCCTAGGGAAAAAAAAAATCAACACGGCAAATAGTTCTCTATGAGCAAAGTGCTGTTAAGATGCAAGATGAAGGGCCATTTAAAAAGACTCAACCCAAGAGCAAGGCTAATTAAAAACCCAATCGACTACTCCCATCTTCAAGCTGAGACAGGAGCAAGGGAACCCAATGAAGTGAAGCAAGGAAAGCCTCCTGGGAGGAGGAAATAAACCCAGTATTTACTGTGTACACCACAGCTGAATCAAAACTTCTGAGGAGGTGGGGGAAACACTTTCCCAAGCAGAAGGGGGAAGGCTTACGGAGGTGTGAAGTTGGGAAAAGCCACCAGCCACCCCAGCCAGAGTAAGGAGGAGAGACCTCTGCAGCTCTGCCCGTCGGAGGGAGCGCAGGGAGCCGGCCCAAGCAGGGATGGCTGAGGAGGATGAGGGTGAACTGCCTCAGGTCACAGCCCTGGCTAGAAGGGACCTCAAAAGGCCACCTGGCCCGACCTTTCCCGGCAAGGAGAGGCAGGCTGGAGGCGACCACCTCACACCCTGCCTTGTAATGGCCCTCTCTCACACCACCAATCCCCACCTCGGCGCGGAGGACCCGAAGAGGGAAGGACCGGCTGAAGACAAACGATAAAGTACTACGGTAAAACTCTGTCGGTGTCACGCAGGCAGGCAAGATGAGCACCGGTGAACTGCCCCGGCACCGCCGCTGGCAGACACCCGCAGCCGCTGGGAAGCGCCCGGGGGAGCGGAGCCCGCCCGGGGGAGCGGAGCCCGCCCGGGGGAGCGGAGCCCGCCCGGGGGAGCGGAGCCCGCCCGGGGGAGCGGAGCCCGCCCGGGGGAGCGGAGCCCGCCCGGGGGAGCGGAGCCCGCCCGGGGGAGCGGAGCCCGCCCGGGGGAGCGGAGCCCGCCCGGGGGAGCGGAGCCCGCCCGGGGGAGCGGAGCCCGCCCGGGGGAGCGGAGCCCGCCCGGGGGAGCGGAGCCCGCCCGGGGGAGCGGAGCCCGCCCGGGGGAGCGGAGCCCGCCCGGGGGAGCGGAGCCCGCCCGGGGGAGCGGAGCCCGCCCGGGGGAGCGGAGCCCGCCCGGGGGAGCGGAGCCCGCCCGGGGGAGCGGAGCCCGCCCGGGGGAGCGGAGCCCGCCCGGGGGAGCGGAGCCCGCCCGGGGGAGCGGAGCCCGCCCGGGGGAGCGGAGCCCGCCCGGGGGAGCGGAGCCCGCCCGGGGGAGCGGAGCCCGCCCGGGGGAGCGGAGCCCGCCCGGGGGAGCGGAGCCCGCCCGGGGGAGCGGAGCCCGCCCGGGGGAGCGGAGCCCGCCCGGGGGAGCGGAGCCCGCCCGGGGGAGCGGAGCCCGCCCGGGGGAGCGGAGCCCGCCCGGGGGAGCGGAGCCCGCCCGGGGGAGCGGAGCCCGCCCGGGGGAGCGGAGCCCGCCCGGGGGAGCGGAGCCCGCCCGGGGGAGCGGAGCCCGCCCGGGGGAGCGGAGCCCGCCCGGGGGAGCGGAGCCCGCCCGGGGGAGCGGAGCCCGCCCGGGGGAGCGGAGCCCGCCCGGGGGAGCGGAGCCCGCCCGGGGGAGCGGAGCCCGCCCGGGGGAGCGGAGCCCGCCCGGGGGAGCGGAGCCCGCCCGGGGGAGCGGAGCCCGCCCGGGGGAGCGGAGCCCGCCCGGGGGAGCGGAGCCCGCCCGGGGGAGCGGAGCCCGCCCGGGGGAGCGGAGCCCGCCCGGGGGAGCGGAGCCCGCCCGGGGGAGCGGAGCCCGCCCGGGGGAGCGGAGCCCGCCCGGGGGAGCGGAGCCCGCCCGGGGGAGCGGAGCCCGCCCGGGGGAGCGGAGCCCGCCCGGGGGAGCGGAGCCCGCCCGGGGGAGCGGAGCCCGCCCGGGGGAGCGGAGCCCGCCCGGGGGAGCGGAGCCCGCCCGGGGGAGCGGAGCCCGCCCGGGGGAGCGGAGCCCGCCCGGGGGAGCGGAGCCCGCCCGGGGGAGCGGAGCCCGCCCGGGGGAGCGGAGCCCGCCCGGGGGAGCGGAGCCCGCCCGGGGGAGCGGAGCCCGCCCGGGGGAGCGGAGCCCGCCCGGGGGAGCGGAGCCCGCCCGGGGGAGCGGAGCCCGCCCGGGGGAGCGGAGCCCGCCCGGGGGAGCGGAGCCCGCCCGGGGGAGCGGAGCCCGCCCGGGGGAGCGGAGCCCGCCCGGGGGAGCGGAGCCCGCCCGGGGGAGCGGAGCCCGCCCGGGGGAGCGGAGCCCGCCCGGGGGAGCGGAGCCCGCCCGGGGGAGCGGAGCCCGCCCGGGGGAGCGGAGCCCGCCCGGGGGAGCGGAGCCCGCCCGGGGGAGCGGAGCCCGCCCGGGGGAGCGGAGCCCGCCCGGGGGAGCGGAGCCCGCCCGGGGGAGCGGAGCCCGCCCGGGGGAGCGGAGCCCGCCCGGGGGAGCGGAGCCCGCCCGGGGGAGCGGAGCCCGCCCGGGGGAGCGGAGCCCGCCCGGGGGAGCGGAGCCCGCCCGGGGGAGCGGAGCCCGCCCGGGGGAGCGGAGCCCGCCCGGGGGAGCGGAGCCCGCCCGGGGGAGCGGAGCCCGCCCGGGGGAGCGGAGCCCGCCCGGGGGAGCGGAGCCCGCCCGGGGGAGCGGAGCCCGCCCGGGGGAGCGGAGCCCGCCCGGGGGAGCGGAGCCCGCCCGGGGGAGCGGAGCCCGCCCGGGGGAGCGGAGCCCGCCCGGGGGAGCGGAGCCCGCCCGGGGGAGCGGAGCCCGCCCGGGGGAGCGGAGCCCGCCCGGGGGAGCGGAGCCCGCCCGGGGGAGCGGAGCCCGCCCGGGGGAGCGGAGCCCGCCCGGGGGAGCGGAGCCCGCCCGGGGGAGCGGAGCCCGCCCGGGGGAGCGGAGCCCGCCCGGGGGAGCGGAGCCCGCCCGGGGGAGCGGAGCCCGCCCGGGGGAGCGGAGCCCGCCCGGGGGAGCGGAGCCCGCCCGGGGGAGCGGAGCCCGCCCGGGGGAGCGGAGCCCGCCCGGGGGAGCGGAGCCCGCCGAGAGTGAGGGAAGTTGGGCAAGGGGATTATACGGGCTCGGCGCCGAGGGCTGGATGTCCTTTCTGCGGGTGGGAGATCAAACACTCGGAGGGCACGCAACAGCATTCGGGAACCTGGGACAGAAGTTATTATTAGGAGGTCAGTTTCCTGAATAGCACGGCAGATTTCGAAAAAAAAAAAAAAAATAAAATTGAATTTTCTCACTGAACAATAAGCACAAACTTAACAAAAATGATCTTCCGTGTGTCAGAAGATAATCTGAGTGTGAACCTTTCTTCTAGTCCCTGAAGACTGTTTAAAAATAAATCAGTTTAGGATCTGCGCTTTAGCTTTTTCATAGGAGAGAACGCGTTTGGCTCGATTTGGTTTTTAAATAATAGATACAATAGCACCGTGTAGCTCAAAACACAAGTTCAAAGCCAGGTAGGATCACATCACTCTAGTTAGGGAGATACGTGATTTCCCAAGTGGGAGAGTCTTTCTTTTTCAATTTTTAAGGAAAAGTGGATCCTCCTTTAGCAGCACAGCCCAAGTGTAGAGACGTAATTTGACTAAAAACCGGGTTTCAAATGTTTAGGGAGATGAACTGGTTGTTGAGATTCATAAAAACACAGTGAGACTCAGAAAACAACTCCTTCATCTTTGTCAGGAAGACAAGAAGCTGCTAAAAATGAACGCCAATAAAAATATTCATTAGAAGTAACTGTGCAAGCAGAAGAAAATAAGGGCTCTGCAGCTGGGACTACTGATTGACTAATCTTGCCCTGCTTGCTTACAAGTAGCTAAAAATTCTGGAGACATAGCTCCATTATTTTCTCTGCCACATGAAGTTGGCTTGAGGAAAGGCAGTTCTGTCCAAAAGATCGGGGAGGGGGGAAATCAGTTGGATGTAGAAATAACTGACAAGTCTCAAAACTTTATTGACTATAAAGCCTATCTTTAATGGGGAGAGTGAAGGTTTTTATTAAGTCTAGCATTGTCCGCAGTATGGATCCAATGAGAAGAAATTAAAAGAACTAGTTCGAAATGTGTGTCATGAGTCAGCACTTACCAGTGTTTCAGAAAATATCAGTAACTGATACTGACAAAGAAGCTGTGAAAAGCTGAGATGCTGCAGAGCACTGGTTCTTGCATAAAAAACCCCAACTCCTCTATTTAATCTTCATAGCTATCATTTCTTTCGCTATTAATCACACTACAACTGTAACCACTCTTGCACAAAAATTTGTAGAACATGCAACATTAATAAAAAATTAATAAAATCTATATCTTTATTTTTAAAATTAATAGCCACGTATTTTGTGTGAAACAGCAGCTCACATCGTAGAATTTAAAGAGGACAAACTCACCAAAG